ATAAATCCTTCAATTATGAACGGATTTTTATTCAAATTTGAAATATAAGTAGATAATATCAGTAATTTACGGACGGATTTTTTTCAGATTTTTACATCAATAACTTTTTTGTTAATACGGAAAACCTAACTTCATTTTCAACTCTAGCACTCAGAAATCCGTCAATTATGAACGGATTTTATTCAAATTTGAAATATAAGTAGATAATATCATTAATTTGCGGACGGAATTTTTTCAGATTTTTACATCAATAACTTTTTTGTTAATACGGAAAACCTAACTTCATTTTCAACTCTGGCACTCATAAATCCGTCAATTATGAACGGATTTTATTCAAATTTGAAATATAAGTAGATAATACATAGATTTTGCAAGATTTAGCAAGATTTAGCAAGGTTTAGCAAGATTAAGCAAGATCTTGCAAGATCTTGCAAGATTTAGCAAGATCTTAGAAGATTTAGCAAGATCTTGCAAGAATTAGCAAGATCTTGCAAGCTTTAGCAAGATCTTGCAAGATTTAGCAAGATCTTGCAAGATTTAACAAGATCTTGCAAGATTTAGCAAGATCTTGCAAGATTTAGCAAGATCTTGCAAGATTTAACAAGATCTAGGGAGTGCAGCCGTGGACGAAGGGAGCCAGTGGATACATTCAAACGTAACATTGTACCTCGATTTTACCAAAGCAGGATTTATGAGTGCCACCGTTGAAAATGAAGTTAGGTTTTCCGTATTAACAAAAAAGTTATTGATGTAAAAATCTGAAAAAATTCCCCCCGCAAAATACTGATATTATCTACTTATATTTCAAATTTGAATAAAATCTGTTCATAATTGAAGGAGTTATGAGTGCCACAGTTGAAAATGAAGTTAGGTTTGCATTCGAGCTCGCAGGCGAGTTCGCTGAAGTGTCGAATCGGTCGATTCGGTGTACCACGAAATGTATTTTTCCAGGACGTAGTGGTACATAATTCAGGTTGCCTAAAATTGGCCAAATCCGAGAACAAAAAAGGCCGATAACTCGAAATATACTAGTTTATTTGTAGGTTCCACTATAAAAATTCCATTCATTTTCTTTTTGTAGTATTTAAAATTTAATTAAGAGGTACCCCTATCATAAATTTTAGCCGGCCAACGCAATTGAGAAAAACTAAATCACGGAATTTGTCCGAAAAAAATGACCGTCTAGCAAGCCTGTTTAAAAACAGTACAAAAAACGAAATAATAGTACAAGATGAAGCAATCGTAGTCAACATGTTAGGCTTCTGTCGGGTACCTATTCCAGCATAAAGGAAACGAATATTACGGGACGATTTCAGAAGAACGTTGATAGTGCAATGAGAGTGGTGTCGGACCGTCGGTGCTCAGAGCAACCGTGCTTGGTTGAAACAACTTTTGGATGGTTGGAGCACTTGGTAAAATCTCCAAGAATCGATGAAACATAATACTGAACATGGTGGCAGGGAATTATTGTGAGTACTTATGCGTTTGCAAGAGCATCGACCGGTCCGGCTCAGCGGGGGGGGGGGGATCGGTCCACCACGCCCCACGGCCAGTGTAGCTGTCAGCTGACTTTCTTCAGAAGTGCAAAAGCTTTTGCCGGTGAAGGTGTTTTACGATCGGTCCGTAAAGAAGCGTTGATCGGTTCAAAATGACATAAGAACAGGTTCTTTTGAATAACCTATGGATTGCCACCATGATACTGAAACTTACCAAGTAAATTCTGCTGAGTTCAGGTGGATCAAGTTCGCACGAAGACACTGTTAAAGCATTGAAAGCAAGTAGCCGGCGGCCCGGCTAGCCGCAGCCCGCGGCCCCGCAAGTCATCATGCGTGCGCGTGATCGTGAGTGATGAGTCGTGAGAACAATTACTCTGTTTTAGAGTTATTGTTGGAGCCTGTTGTGAGTAACAGACTACTAACAGAGTTCTAACTTTTCAATAAATTTATTTCAAAACTTATTTGAAAAAAAAACTAGAAAATGGAGTTGTATGCATTGACATTCTCTTGTGCTCTTAGTCTAACAAATCGTTAAACAAATGTTACCTAGGTAGCTACTTTCCTACTTAGGTAAACAATTTCTAGAAAAGATCTGTGGGCTGTGGCGGTTGGCACTTGGCAGCGTGGCTTTGTGTGGCCACTCTGGCTGTTGTCTGTGGGTACTGGTGTACTAGTCGTCTGGGCCTTTGGCTAATGCCGTTAGTGGCCCATTTGTACTACTATACTAGTACTGGCCTCTGTATATTTCATATTCAAAGATATGCTTCCGCTGCTTCCGCATTCTGCCTTCCTGAGCTCCTCAGCCCAGGCTCTAATTATTGTTATTTGTTACTTATTATTGGTGTCAAAGGTCAAATTCTTTCCATAATTTCACCCTTCACAGCTCATAGTTTTGGACCAAGAAATTAGATACCAAATACCAATCATACCATGGCATTAACTAGGTACCTAAAGGTAAGTAGGCCTAACTTGAGAGTTGAGTATATAATAAGTTAGGTTGCATTTAATCATTCCTGAACCGACTGAATGGTTTATCCACATCAAATTCAGTATTGTATCAGTAACTATAGGCTAGCCTATAGCTAAGTGTAAGGAAGTTTTGGATCCACCATTTGCATTTCACCCTATGCACCCTAAGTCCCTAACAGGCTTTCTATTATTCCCAAGTGCCTCAACCATATTGGGCCAACTGGCAAAGGAGAACATTTTTCTGTTGTCCCTTTAACGTTTAACAAGTTCATTTTTGAGTCCTATACCTAACAATAAGTAGACTAGCTAGCTAGTATATACTAAGCATCTTAGATACCAGCATTATCATACAGTCTACAGACATACACAATAAATGTAGTAAAATTTTGAGTATATGAGGAAATTAGCCTACAAATGAACTTATTCTGAAAAATATCTAGTTTGCTACTATTGCCCTCAAGTCCCCAACATCCTTTGCTTTCTGAAGATGCCTTGCAGCCTCAGGCCTCAAGGTCAACTTTGTCAAAAGCTATAGCAAAGTCCAGGCCCCAGCTAGACCACACCTATGCCTCAAGCCAAGCCTGCTCATTCCTCCAGTAGAGCCTCAAGCAGTGATGGTGCTCCAATAAGTCATAACTGGTGACAATGACAAACAGGAACAATTTTGCCAGAAACCATGTTGTCCATTATTATACAATTCATGAGTTCAGCCTCTTCCATATATTTGGAAGAGGCCTATTTCCTCTAAATGGGGTTCTACCTATTTGTGAATTACCTACTTATTTGTGTTTAACCTTTCTCTCTTAAAATTGCAGCATACTAAATATCAAGAAGGAATCATTTGTTTTTATCTGTCTTTTTGGGGAGGGGGCACTAGAGATTCACTGGGAGCCAAAGGAGAAACTAGCCTGAGAAAGTTAGGGAACCACTTTCCACTGATATAGTGAATACTGGACAAGACTCTTTACCACTATCTTCAAAAAAACCCTAATCATCTGTGAGTGTTAGGCTTGACTGTGAGATCAAGATCACAGGTCTGTAATCCTCGGTATGTTATACATAAATAGGAATTGGGAATATTCATGTACAAATTCTTACTGGATTAACATATGTGGGACCCACCACCCTCAGGTACCACCGTACCATTCACCAGCCTACCAGGGCCTATACAGCTATATACTTTCAACACTCGCTAAGTGAACGTAAGTACTTACGCTCTATGTTCTTGCCTATGATTGGTGGATTTTGCTTGAAAGGCCATCAATGATTGGCTGATGAACTTACTATCTCTTTACTTTTTTTGAAGGTATAGGCCCAGGGTTGCAAGTTGTCCTAAAAAATGGCCAAGTCCACAGACAAAAATAAAAAAATATAACTCTGTACTCACTACTCACTGCAGTGAGACAGTGAGTGGAGTGACAGAGCGCATTTTCTCATTGACAAAAACGTGGTCACGGACAGATGGACGGACAGGCGGACATGACGAGCACAATAGGGCATTTTTTCCATATTAAGAAAATGCGCTAAAAAGGACTATAATTTAATATTAGTAAATTTGTAGGCTCCAGTGCTAACATTCAATTTCAATTTTTTTTTTATTTTTATAATTAAATAAGGATGTACCAGCATCATAAATTATTGCCATCCCATGTATTTAATTGAGAAACTAGATTGTGGAATTTGTCTGAAAAAAATCTTCTATATGAAACACTCAAATTTAGAGCTATCTAATTTTTGGACAAGTGCGACATATAACATATTTCTATATTGGTGTAATCACCATAACTCGAGCAACATTAGAGGCCCTGACCCATCAAGACTGGCGATAGCAGAGGCCCTCATCATGAGTGAGTTCCGAGCTATTAACCTCCAGATTAAAAGATTAGCCTGGAAGCTGAAATTATTTTCAGATCTGAATTTTTAGGCTTAGCTTGCAAATGGTATCCACAATACCGTACCCATGATTTGAACTACTGTCATTCCCATAAGTTCAATTTCAAGTGCTGCAAAACCTTCACCTGCTTGATAATGAAAATTGTATTTTCAAAATGTTACATTCCATTAAAATGTCATTTGGTAACCTGTTTTTTGATCTCCCATGCAGTGCCAGCAAGAAATATTGTTCAACTTATTGAGGGAACAAATAAGCAGATTATTAATAAAAAAATATAACTCGGTACTCACTGCAGTGAGTGACAGAGAGCGCATTTTCTCGTCGACAAAAACTTGAGGTCATGGACAGGGACAGATGGACGGACAGACAGACATGGCAAGCACAATAGTGCATTTTTTCCATAAATGAGAAATGCGCAAAAAAGCATGCTCTGTTCTTAAATCAAACTTGAATATTTTTATATGTACATAAATGTTGTGCTGCTGCTAAAATATCCAAATCCTTAGTGTGGGTGGGTCCTCCCTAACTAAGCTAACGAAGTTGTTTAGTGATTCATAATGATGTTTGGAAGTTCTTATTTAGTTGATGTACTTAGCCTGTGAATTTTTACTAATTGATATCATAACATTCTTCTATTTTTCAGATATTAATGTATAATTAGCCTGCTCTCTCTAGCACTTTTGCTGTATCATTATTTCATTGCTGGATATAACTAAATATACCTTCACAAAAATGGCTGAATCTGGTTCAATTTCAACTGCTGGTGTTGCTGGATCAAGTTCAAGTCCACTTGAAAGTTCTTTGGTGAGATTTCACATGTGTTTCTCATTCTGTACTGGTTTTGGTTCTATAGTATTTCTTGGTTCTGAATGTGTTTTTTTTTTACTTTTTCATAGATAATAAAATTTCATATATTTCCTGAATCCTTAGCTCATAAATTCCTGTTGAAAATTTCTCTATTTTTTTTATTTTTATGACTTGTGTTTGAAAATTTACCCTCTGAGCTTCATAGGACTATTTTTTTGTTGAAATGGCTTATCATCCTTGTACATTCATGTGGCAAAGAAGTGAACCTACACCTACTGAGATTTTTGTTAAACTTGCATTTTGCAAGCATCAATCTTGTAAAAAATTCACTTATTTGAATCTCTGATGACTACAGTTATTTTGAAACTATAGAATGTATATATATATATCTATAGTAAGTTTGTTAACCAAACCAAAGCATCATTATTTACAATGTAGATTTTTGCACTCCTGACTATGGTGACTGCTCATATCTTGCCATGATCATGGATTGCATGCACCACTGTACCAGTATTATTTTCAAACTAGTGGTAGTGGTGGTTCAAAAGCTAATTTGTGATGTTGGTTTGAGCGGTTTGTTTTGATAACGATTAAGTTGACTGAATTTCCAGGCTGAGGTGAATGAGCAACTTGTTGACACGCTGCAGGGATTGAAGGAACTGAATGCTGGACTTCTGAAGATGAAGGAACAGCTCAGGAACATGCGAGGTCAGATAATCATGTTTTATACACAGTAAGATAGTCAATTTCTCCGATTGTCGCTATATTAATATGATTGAATATTTTCAAAGCCGCAGAATTAAAAGTTCAGCATGTAATAATAGGTAGGTACATATTTTGGTACTTGAGGTTGTGCCGAATTAATACATACGCACATTAAATACACTTTCTTTGTAAAGCTTAAAGTTGAATAGCATTGAATTTGGGATATGTACATTAATTTCATCTTCAAGTACCTATACATATAATTTAATTACACAAAACAATTGTTAGAATAGTACTTAATTATGAGGTATACTCTGTAAAAGATATAAAAACTCTTGAATAAATTTAGTATTTATATCAAAATATCATCTATCATGAGAGAATCTTGTTCATGACATTGCTTCTAGTATAAAACATTGAAATTCATTTTACTTTCATTTTTCTTCATCATAATTTTTCCTCGTATTAAAAAAATTCATATCAACTTTTATTCCAGTGGTAGCTGCAGAGGAGTTGTTGGAGCTTTCCATGCTTTACAATCCTGCCCTGAGGGAAGTTCTTGCAGAGACTTATCAAGCCTCGTCTCATGCCCATAATTCTGTGGCTGAGATTTTTAGCAGTGCAAACAAAAAGCTGGATGACCTTCAAATCATGAACGAGAGCACGTTCGAGTCCTTCAAGCAGTGTACTGACAACATTAATACTGTCGTTGATAGCTCGAATGAAGTCCGACAGCCGAATATGGCCGTCCAGCCAAGTCCTGATGATGCGCCCCCCATGATCCCATGCGCTGTCGAGCCGAGTGTTGTGGTACAACCCACTGAACTTCACCCTGCGAACGATGATCCCTGCGCAGTGCAGGAAATGGAAGTGGACGTTGATCCAGTGCAGGGTAATGAATGTGACGTGATTCGTAGTGTTGAGCCAGAAACTCTTCAGCCAATAGCCGATGTAAACCAAATCAATCAGCCTTTGAAGGATGTGGTCACTCAAGTGCTGCCTGAAAATAATAATGGCCAATCGATTGCAAGCACCATCAGGCATGAAGTCATCAGCAGGTCTGAAGCTTGTGTAGATCCAAAAACGCTCGTTTTAGAATCTGAAAATTTAATTTGTAGATCTGATCCAGAAGCAATAATGGTTGATTCGCTCAACATGAACAACGAAGGTTTGCAAGGAGAGCTTTTGAGCCCACCTTCACTTGTTCTTGACGAACAAAGTCATTACGTCTCTAGTCAAGCTCTTGCCAACAATCCCTGTCCAGATTCTTCTGAATCTCATGCACAGCACGCTTTGCTTCCTGCAAAAAGCGTCGATCTTCTACATGATCCTTCGGCTGCCTGGGATTTAGGACATGGCGCTCATTTACTTGCTCCCTATAGCATTGAGGAAGGAGCTACTCCGTTCGATAAAGGAGAAGAGAAATCTGCTGAAACCGAAGAATTTATTACTTCCATTCCTATTGACAACAATACCGCTGAAGTTCAGGCGTCGATACCGAGTGAAGACGGAGAGAAGATGGACGTAGAACTCCTCAGCAATACAACTACGGAAGTTCACTCCACTGAATTGACTGAGAGGCAGTCTTGCCCTTTGCTCTTGGGGACCTTGGATGAGCCAGGGTTTCTTGAAACTGTTGCTGACGAAAACTATACCAGTGGTGTGAATGAAAACCGCGAACTTCATGCAGTTGTACAAAATAATTTATTGGGAGAAATGAAGGGTGACCTTTCCTCTGAGAAACATTCAGTAATTTGCGATGTGACGTGTGAAACCCAAATTTCAACCTCGCCTAGAGATGAAAATGTCGCTGTGGCATCTGATACTGATCGTGAGCTCCGCGAAACTGTTGTTCACGAGACCAGCGACTACACTTCGATGACGGAAATTGATGCTGTCTCTTCGCAAAATATGGCAAGGCTTAACACTGACCGATTCTCGGCTAGCGACGCGAATCCTGAAGAGGAGGCTGAAGATGCTGGCAGTCCTGCTTCACGTCTGCACGCAATACACTTAAAGGATGATAACGTGGATGTTCTAACTCGAGAACATGAGGCAATCAACGCACCAGTCTTGAATAATGAGTGACGTTTTTATTGGAGGCTGTTCAATCCCGGCAAGTGTGTTTGACCGTTTCGTGATTACGTTAACCGTTGGAGTTCTGTAGATTGAAGTTGATTGGAATGACAACGTTCTTGGCTTACTAATAGTCAAGTTGTCAGTCCAATATGATTTTCGTTCTCTCTCAACAATAATCATAGGATTGTTCAACCATCCTTTGTTCTTTCTCGACGATTGTTCATTAAACTCTCGATCTTATTCATCTACGATAGTCTTCTTGAAATTGGCATAAATTTTTCTATATCAAAATGGTGGGACTAGATTGGTTTCAACTCGAAACTATTTTTTTATTAGGAAAGTTAACGAACATCGTTCAACGTCGAGATCTTATTTTATACCGTTCTCTAAACGCCCACTTATCTTTACGTTTCCTCTTGTACAACGGATACAGATTTAATGTATTTACAGTTATTTTATATTAAAGGACGACCTTGAACTCTAGAAAAACTTGAAAATACGAGTTTCGTAAGCATCAAATTTTTTCGTATAATCTTTACACTCTCAGTGTAAATTGTTTTGTATGATCTAGTTTACCCTATTGCTGTAAAATTGTTTTGTATGATCTTGTTCACACTATCGTTCTGTTTAATTCAGTCCATCTTCGACTACTCTGTTAGTAGCAGTACTTTAAACTAATCGATGAAGTGCTCTACCTTTGAACTCTATTTCCAGTAGCGTAGCATACCATGTTCCATTCAGTTTTTAAATAGTTACACTTCCAAGTTCGTTAGACGCTTTCGGGTTAAGTGAAACCGTACATTATTACACCGCTGATACGATTTATGTATTTGAAATCCTGTTTTGCATTAAGACTGCTGTTATTCGGGATTTAATTTACTACATAAAAAAGGAAGGACGTGGCCGTGTTATTTTCTGTATCAAGTTTTTCTGAGATCCAAACGTTTGAGACTCGATTAGTGTGACGTTCTTCTGAACATAGAGCCGAGGCGATTTCATTGTTGAATCTTCTGTATCTTTTTCCTGACTTCATATCGTGCTGATGCAATTAGCTCACTCAGCTAATTGCTAATATGTAATTGCTCAGCTAATATGCATTTGATTTCTAGGAGAAACAAGTAGCTTACATCAAGTTAAGCGAATGCTATGCAACTTGAACGCCTTAGTTTGTGTATTGACAGGATGTATTTGAAATAAAGTTCGGAAGTGAAAAAGTTACTCTATAATTTTACCTTGAAGTGCACTTCAAAGACCATTTCCCTCTGGAGCTTTAGTGCGAATACTTTGCTCTGGCTATCATAAAATCAAAATTTCCGTAGAAGAGTGCGTTCAAACACATGAACGGTTATACATATATTGACCTTAACAAATGATAACCATAGTGAAGGGGGATATTAAATCTTTATTGACGCAGACTGGGATTTACACGACCTTATATACATTAATAATTAAATTACTTAACGTATTTACAGTTGCGTGATTTGGTATATTACTCGCTTATAATAAATTGCTGCGAATGAGTTGAAAGGCAGCGACTGTAGCCTCTGCCGATGTCACATTACTGACGCTTGTTCTTCTATGCCTTCTTAAATTAACTCGACATTAGTGCTCCAGTGAATGTGAAACTGTAGAGTATTATTGATACCGAATGAGCATTCGTTGAATATGAAAAGCAGCTCGAATCATCTCAACTAATTACAGGACGGTCATTGCGATTTTAACACAATGTTTGACATTTTGTACGTTCTCTTTGGTACAAGATAGGGCTTTACAATCCATAGAAAATACTACAGATAGATTCGTTGAAGCCCACTAGTACTCCGTTCGTTCTGAAATTAAGGTGACCAACAATGTATTAAGCTGAACGAATAACGTGGAATCTCATGGAAGTGCTGAATGAGTTTTCTTCCATAAGATAGCTTCCGAGTTTCTAACTTATGCGATATAAAATTCATGAAGATGAACTAGAGTAATGAGATACTAGAAAGCGTTCAAGATCATTATCTAGAATAAATGAAATAAATCTGTATGTAAACAAGAAATCCCGTGTCTAATGATTAAAAACTATCAATAGATTGAATCTCTTCTACCCGTTAGCACTGCAAAGAAATGCTATGTGAATCAGCAAGAGGAAAAAAAATCAGTTATTTCTAGAAGCGTCGAAGTAAAGATAGACCATGAGATCGAGTCCAATAAATCCGCCACTGGACCATTACCGACGAAATTTGGTTTACAATGATCATAATTCAATGAAAATTGTATGCAAAAATTATAACGCCTATTCGGCTACAAATCATGACATGTATTTAGCATATTTACCCGTTGTTAAAATCAGCTCATCTATCATTAAATTTCTACGAAGACATAAAGAAAGTAAACATATATTTGCAATCCATTCCGCCAAGGCTTTACGTAACTTTTAGCACAAAATTTAGATTCGTTTACGTTAAATTCGAAATGAGCAATGTTCAAGCGCTTGAATTGCTACTGCACTGTTCAATCACTGATTACATCAATATGTCTTGGTCTATAGTTCAGGGGTTTTCCAGCTGATAAGTATTTCAGCATACGAACTTCCATGGAATGGACGAGTTATAAACAATAAGTGGTTAGGGTACTGAAGTATCAGTTATCAATATTTAGTCACACTAAAGTATCCAGGGCATAGGCGGCCTCGTCGCTGCTGCTGTGCAGAGAACTCAAACCTGTGTCGGAGTTAGAGTCACCAGAATCAGAGTCTTTTTTCACATCAGTTGTCCCGCTGAGGACCAATTGATCGGTGCTTGATGTTATGCTGTTGTTTTGCAACAGCAACGAGTGCGACTTGACACTGGAGTCTTTGCCATTAACGGCTGAAATTTGATTACGTGTTCGTTGCATTTTATTGATATTACTGGACGGGAAAGAATCCACTCCAACGCCCGAAGAAACAGAAGAAGAACAATTGCTCATTGATGCTTCGGAGGAAGTGCTGGAACGCGAGCTCAAACCAAGGCTGGAATTATTTGTGGTCGAGTCATTGTCGTCATCGTCTACGCTTTTGCTGGATTTGCCACTCACTATTCGACTGCCGATCGTGTTCAGTAAGTTTCGTTTACTCGCCTCATTATTGGAGAAATCGGTGCGGCTTTTCTCGCCATTCATGTCGGATTTAATATTGTAAGTGTTTGACTGCATGATGTCCTTGGCGTTGGCAGGGGGTGTTAAAAGAGGTGGAGGACACAAGGGTAGGGGTGGTGGAACATCCTCATCATTATCTTCTCCAACCTGCTTTTTAAAAGTATTGATTCTTAGGTGAATGGAATTGATATTCTTAAGGCTATTTGTATTTTGATTTTGTTCTGAGCTGTTCAAGTTTTGGTTACTAGCTAAACTTAAATCCGTCCTATTCGGTAAAACATTAACGCTCGTGAACGTATTTTTCAAAGAATAAGAGCTTTGAAAATTCTTATTATTAATTTGTGACTGAAGAGTGGGATTGCTCCCAGAAACTGAGCTTCTCAGAAGCGGTACGCTGGTACTATCGATGGTAGTTAGGTTGCCGTTTAGCTTATGGTGTTCGTACGGCGGCGGTTGGAGCGGTTTTCGTCGGTTCGGCGAACAGGACCTGTTGGGAAGACGAGGTCCTGGAGATGGAGCTCTGTTGACGGTCCCAAATATTGAGGGGGATGGAGCTCTATTGTTGTACAGAACATTAGGAGAAGGGGGCCGATGGCTGGCGCCGCATGGTGGCCGATTATCGCTTGATGAACTCCTAGAATGAAAATGCTTATTCGTCTGTGTCTGTGAACTTGACTTCTGTTGGTTGGGAGAAGGTTGCCGATAGCTCGTCGTAATTGGGTTCACAAGTTGAGGTGGGTGGTTAGGTAAGAGACTTTGTACCAAGCAAGCGGGATGCGCCGGAGGAGGAGGCAGAGGCGGTGGATCATCCCCTTCCTCTGGGAGCCTAAAAGCCGTTGGTGGAAGGTGTAGGATATAGTCCAGCTTTGCTTGGAGGTATTTAGTCTCCTGGTCGGAGTCCACTTCATCTGCCAATAAAGCGTCTATTAGTTTTTTCTTCTGGGCCGCCGACGTGTCCAGGACGCGAATCTGTTGTTCGTTCGATCGAACCTCTGCCACAAGCGCAGCGTGGTCGTCAGCAGCTCGTTTCAAGTCACATTCAAGAATATTTTTTTCCTGTTTCTGCTGCGTTTGGATCACTTCAATGGTTGACCTCAGGCCGTGGATTTTTTCCTCTTCTTCTAACATTCGGTTCAAAATTGTTTCCATTTTATTAAAAAGAGCTAATCGCTCCTGGACTTCGGCTTCATTTAGATCCTCAATATCCCGATGGCTTATATCGTCGGTTTCTTCCGCAAATAATATTCCAGAATCTTTACTCTTCTCTTCGTCAAGGGTTTCATCTTTATTCGATCTATTAAGTCGACCGCTGTACCTCAGAGGTTCTGTGGACTTCATAGAACGGACAAAATTGTTTCGCCCGGCAGTATTTATGCAAGTTGCGGCGTCCTGAATGAACAAATCATTAGGACCTCCTCCGATGTTGATGGGTTTAGCATGAACTTCCCGCGTATCAGACATACTAGGCAGCAGAGTGGGATGCGCTTGATTGAACTGTACATGTGGACCGCTCTGTAATCGAGCTGGAGGTAGTAAAGAATTCCTGTGATGCGAGGAATATTTCGATCCCGAATCCACGCCCATTACTTGCTCCATGCCGTGAGGTTGGTCCTGTGCTTGGTGATGTTGGTCGTGTAAATAAGAAGATAACAGGTAGTCATTTCCTAGGCTCTGTACTCTTAATAGATGCATTTGCTGCTCGTAACTCTCAATTTGTGATTCGCGTTGATTGAGACGCCGTAGTTGGTTCTGTATCGTCTCGCCCTGGGCCACAACGAGTCGCATGAGCCTCTCCATCGTCTCGCTGCACACAGAAAACAGCAATTAGGGAATAGAAAAAATAATGAATTGAGGTTTTGTTTTACCCTCTAAAACAACAGGTATATATATAACAAAGTAAGTTTTTGGGGTTCAGATCCTGAAAATCTTCAAAATAAAATCATTATTACAAAATAACCGCAAGTTATGTCTTTCTGGCGATATTTGAATTGAACCGCGAGTTCTATAAAATTGATGGCAGCGAGCACACGCCCCACAAGTGCCCGCTTAGCAGCTGGCATCGCCACTGCGATATTAGTTCGCTATATACGGCAAAGCAGATAACCTTCCTCCCGAGAAACTGGAGCAACGCCGCTAGCAGCACGGCAGCAAAAAGCTGCCCAATTTTGAAGAAGTGGACGCTTCAAACAAAATAAAAGACCCGAGAGCGTGTAGTTCTGAATGCATACCAAGGACAGTTTAGTATAGTTAATAAACGCGTGGCTGCTGGAGCCTTCAAATAAACGGACGCTCCCAACCTCATGAAACAATTGAAGAAGAGTTTAATTGACTATGCCACTTCCCTGGGGCTTTGCTCCAGGGCCTGGAAAGAGAAAGATACGAGCAGGATGCGACACAGTCGACGCTAAGACTGTCGCAATTAAGAGCGGGATTGGTGCGGACAATGAATCTGATTTCCTGTTCGCTAAATAAGGAGTGAAGTCAAATTCACGTTTATGATTTGCAATCCCTTTTCATCTTGAATATGGACGAACGAGCTACTTAGCTATGAAATGTGTAAACGGAGCAATAAATGAACATTAAAATCACAATGGTAGTGTGAAAAAGAATTGACTTCATCTGTTGACAATGACATCAAGCATAAAGACAGGAACGCAATTTTCAATTTATGATCATGATAAAACTAATTATACAAGTTATAATACAAATACTGTTTCTAATCGAAGGATTTGAAATTTTAAAACAAGCAACGGCTCACAATCAAGAATAGATATATCATCACATATGAACCATTAAATACGAAACAAGATGAATAAAACTAAGTCATGACAAATTCTAATGGTGAATGGTTTTTGGACGCGTGTCAAGAACAATTCAAACAACACCCGCTCCCTTCGCGGCTGGTTAGCCTAGCGCCCAACCTGTGATGCGGCCAATTAGGAGATCGGGAGCAGAGAAGCTGTGTGTTGGGTATCGAAACAAACCGTTACATGGCACAAAAGCTACTCGGAGCCATGCGGTCACTTTCCTTTTACGTGAGAATCTGCTGTAGAAACAATTCGACGCGCATCAGAATAAGGTATATAACTAAGATAAATTTCATCCGAGTATTATCATTTATGGCATTCATCGACACTAAAGTATGCAATAAACCACAGCGTTATTCGTTGTGTACTTACAGAAAAAGAATAAGGATCATAAATTAAACGAGTTCACAAGAAGGAATCCAGTTTGAAGCTGCCACCAGGATTAATGCATGCATGGAGAACTAACAGCGTGGGACTCAACTTCGATGCATACTAATAGCGATGACGAAACAGGATGTAACAATTAAGTCATTATATCGAGACGCTCTATGTACCATCGATATACTCACTTCACCTTGCAAGATGCTCCTGTAGAGAACAAATTAATTCGTATTGGCATATCATCCAAATACTAAATCTTAGAAGCACGAAATGAAAAACGATAACCCTAACCCTAATATTAATGGAAAACGAGGGAAATGTGCATGAAAATTCGTTTCGCAACAACACATTAATGGTGCCAAATTTATCACGTAAGAATAAATGTGGTTATTCGTCACTACAAGTAAATAATATAACTAGCTCAGTTTCTTGTTCGTCAGACAGTTCCTCTTTGCATTGCTTATTTTAGCAAGGAGACATTTTCTCCGTAGGTGATCGAATATTTTATATCACATAAGCATATATTAGCAAAAACTGTCACCTAAGCGCTTAGGTAAAGTACAAGCACGGCACAACTCGGTCATCAGCCACAAGCTTCATTCGGCGTCACTTCCTTACTGGGTAGAAACTCGTCGCCATACAACGTCGTTTAATGCATCGTCACAGGAAGACCAGTGACGAAGAGCTCACCCAACGCAAACAATGGACAGCTCAGTGCCGGCATAAGGTACCGTGATCAATTTCCTTGAACAACGCCAACAAGTCTAAGTTCCAAATGCGGAAATTGTGACACTAATGTACGAACACAATACAATAGAAAACGAGTCGAACAATTTCACAGCTGAATCTAATAAAGCGAAGGCTGAAAAAAGAATTACTCTCGGAGAAAGATCAAACCATTATTGTTAAGATAAAACTAAAGAACTTATTATAGCAAATGAATTTCCAACGGGCTTTCAAGTTAGCGGAATCGTTCAACACAGAAACAATTAAAATTACTGAAAAACACGTTAATAGCTGACTGCAATATATTGAAAATAAAATGTACTATTTTCAACCAATATCCTCATAATTAGCTTATTTAAAGAGCAATATTTTGGCTGCATGGCTCAGTTCAGTGACGAAGATTTCGTGTAATTAAATTACACAGTTCAGTGTAATTAAATTATAATTCAATTAAATAATATACGTTTAAAAATTACTTTTTAAAGACAACACTTCTAAAGAATCCAGTGTATCCAATGTTAAAGATGTACAATGAATTACTCATTTTATTTTCGAATATTAAAAAAATTAATTTATATTTTTTTAATATATAATTTTTTTCAAAATAATTTATTTTGTCAATTGATTCATGCATTGCCTCCGACTTCGCACACGTATGCAAAATTTCAGATCCATTGGATAGGTAAAAGTGTGTCAAATACCAGTTATAAGATTTGTAGCTGACAAAATTATTTTTTCAATTTTTCTAATATTGAAAAAAAAAACTAATTTTTAAAATCATTTATTTTGTCATTTGATTCTTGTATTGTCTCCAACTTTACGCAAGTGTGCAAAATTTCAGATCGATAGGAACAGTAGACGTGTGTTAAATTTCGATTATAAGATTTGTAGCAGACAGACAGACAGACAAACAGACAAACAAGAAGTGAAGTTAAAGAGAAGTGTTGTAAAAAGTGCCTACATTTTGGAATGCATTAGTTCGTATTAAATTACGTATTATCTCCTAGGGTCGAGTAACAATCAATATAAAAGTTCAATCAAAATGCGTAGCTATACACCCTCCGTTCAGAAATAATGCAGTAAAAAGTTGAAATGTCAGGTTTTATCACACCGTTACCCGGACAGGGTTACTCCTTAGGGTAAATTTTTTCAGCATCCGCAGCTAACCGGCAGCCATGAGGTGAATGACAACATTGGCAGCTAGAAATTTATTAATAAACAGTAGCTCTGTGTGATTTTCTTCATTCAAACGTAAAATAATTGAAAAATGACCATGCTTAATTGAGTTGGTTGTTCTACACTTAGATGGAAGAAAAATAGTTTTTAACTCAATGATGGAGCTCATGTGATAGCATAGCTCATCGTTTTTCTCAAATATTATTTGAGTTTGTTGAATTTTGAGCTTTAATTGTAGTGTAAAATAAAATTAAGCCACAAAAATCGGTCAAACATACGACATAAGGTTGAAAAATTATAATATGGGAATGCAAATTAAAATTAGCCAATAATTGATAGATTTTATTTATTCGCAGCTATTTATTTATTTTTGCCACATGAAACATTAACTTAACATCCGACGCGGACGCGATGGTGACAGAATAATCTACACATCGGCTCATTGACATGTAAAGTTTTCTAAGGATCCCGGTTATTTAAACTAAAAAAAAAATACAAAAAAAAATACTCTGAAAAATATTAGAAAAGGTATGCTATGCACACGAGTTCAGGGAGGCACGTGGCCCGACTCCTAAAGCGAACAAGATCTCGAGCAGGGACCTAATGCAGGCCAAATAGCTGCTAGCTCGCCTGCACGCTCCTTGTTAAGCTTTCTAGTGCATGAAATTATTACCTGCAGCCTCCTGATCTCCAGCGACGGATCCTCTGAGCACACGGGCTCCTGTAATACGGAACGGTCCTCATTCCGCTCCCGGGGCCTACGTTACGCTCTGAGGCAACCGCCAGATGCTGTAATTTGCGGTAATCGTGCGTCATCCAGGAGCATACGATCACAGTATATGCAAGCAATACAAATCAGTAACTACATTCGTATCCAGTAGAAACCGTCCATGCTACTGAAAGGATCTGGAACAGATAGTTAAAAAGAGTATCAACACGTTGACTCCGAAAGTGTACCGTATTTCTCCAGGACGTAGTGGTACATAATTCAGGGTTCCCAGATGGCCTAAAAACGCGAACAAAAAAAAAGGCCAAAAAGGCCTATAACTCAATACATAGCAGTATATTCGAAGGTTTCGGTGTAAAAATTCCATTTTTCAATTTTTTAAATTTAATTAAGAAGTACCCCCATCATAAATTTTAGCAGGCCAACGCAATTAAAAAAAACTAAATCGCGGAATTTGTCCGGAAAAATACCGTCTGGCAATACTGTTTCATGATAGTACAAAAAATGAAATATTAATACAAGATGAAGCAAGTGGAGTCAACGTGTTAACCATACCCGTTTTCATATTATTCCTCAGTAAACACGATAAAAGAGGCTCGGGCGAAAGTAAAATCAAGAGTGCTAAGTCAACGAGGTTAATAATCACAAATTAATCATCTTACAAAAATGTTAGTGAAAGTGCGAATTAAATTGCTGAAACTGTGGCCTGTAGGTACATACATAATTTGGATTATTAGAACAACCGAATAGGAATTTCTGAACAACTTTCAACATGGTCAGCCATCTTCCAGCCGAGGAACGAAGCGAATTTAAGAGTAATTCAAAGTTCGACGAATATTAGCCTGAAATGCATAGAAGCTTATTTGCTATGATGTACCTACACAGACATCTCGTCCTCATCAAACTCGACAAAGAAACGTGCACTTGTCGAGTGCCGCGAAGAATGCCGTTTGCGGTTGTACGACCGAGGCGTCTACGAACCCTGCA